TAAATTTAAATCTTCCTACATGTCATTGTACGATTCATATTATTGATGGAACATACAGTGAAGCTCATCCACATATAGACATTGTGGAACATATATTACTTCAATGTCATAAAATGTAATTATGATATCCATATTAAAGTAAGTAAGAGACAGTAAGTTTATTCAATTTTTATAAAATTTTGATTATACATTTTATACGTTATATACTTTTTTAATGTCTATTTACATATTTTCTATTTTCTACAGCGCATTTTCTCATACATTTTTTGAAACCTCGCTCATATCTTGATAGATATTGATATTGGCAGCGTATAAGTTCTTGAACGTCGAGATCGTCGTGGGTCCTACGTCTTATGTAGAAATTGCGAACGACAATCGAGGTAACCGCATAATCTTGCCTCATGCTACATGGAAGGCGTGCATCGAGATGTGCAGATATTGAGCGATTAATGCAGTCAACTGCAGTGCATCCCATCATCATCATCACCGATTCAAGATCTGAATGTAGAACTTGTTAAAGTATGTCATATGAAAAACGTAAAATTGTCATTGCATGATACATACTTGTACGTGAAACTTGTACACAACCGTACTCTTCTTATTTATGGTCGAGCAATGTGTTGAGCATGCGTATTATAAACTAAGTCAATGTACGCATGTCAATGTTAGCAAAAATTCAAATATTTTGTATCATTTTTAAGACAAAATTGTATTACTAATAAACGCGATGTCGCAAACACTTTGCACAAAATGTATGATAAAAGTTTTATTATAGAATGTGAACTAGTGGTCTAAATTATATTGTACATGCTGCATTAGATATTAGATAATAAATAAATCTATATTAAAAAATACATATTTCTTTAAAAATTTATCTTTTCCCTAATCTCTTTATTATTCCTTCTTCATATCTTCGTGAAAATAAATTATTTAATAAGAAAGCGCGAATCCGGCTGTTCGACTTATATCATTAAAATATTATTAAATATATGCTCGTATCATTCTATTGTAAAATCGCATCATAAAAATCATAAAATGAATACATATCTTTTTAATAAAATCGCGTGCGAGAGAATATATATCAACAATTTGTGTACTACTATACGCAAAAATTGTATTGACAATAAATGTGGTGCATTAAAAGATTGTGTGAAGTTTATGATGAAACTTCAATCATAGAGTATGAATGGAGTATTATGTGCACTTCAGAAATTGTACACACGCGTAAGAAACAAATTAATGTTTTATAAAAAATGTATAATAGGATACTTAAATATATTACTTTTTTAATTATTTTCTCTCTCCTTTTTCCCTGCCTCTATTTGACAGTTTAGAATTATATATGATAAGAAGACGTGCAATTTTTCCTCAAATAAGTTAATCAAATTAGTAAAATAAGAATTGAATAATAAGAAATTATAACTCTAATCTCTATTTCTTTCTGGGTTTCCTCCACAATCCTAAAATATTTTTTTCGCCCTCTTCTATGTCATCATCTGCTTGTCACGTAACTTTGAAACATGCACATTCCTATTTCTCCTTACCGCCAATTGAAAAGAATCTTTTTTCTCTATAGTTATTTAAAATTAATTAATAATATGATAGCTGTTCAGAAGTACGACGTAGTACAATAAATGATCGATAGTACTACTCAATAATAGTTTATAATGGTTTGATAATTAGAAACGCTCAGCTATTTATATTACATTACATTACTAGAAATATTATTATAATTAGTTGCTAAATTAAAATCATTGCTAAATCATATCATTAAAAAATCATAAAACAAAAACCATATTTATTTAATAAAATTGTGAGTAAGAAGAAAAGAGAACATGAGAGAGAATACAACGGAAAGAAGAGAGAGCGCGAATACTATAAATGTAAGATCACGAATACTATGGCGAGTATAGGACTATAACGGGAGAGGCATATATCATTATGCGCACTATTTGGCAATGCATGCGATCTTCAAATTTTATATCATTATGCAATTTGGTAACGTCGCAATATATCAAAATTACATTTATGATGTCATCAAGAAATATATTATATTAATACGTCAAATGTTCCTTAAAAAATCTTTTATTACACTAACAAAGCTGTCGTATATTGGCGCTTGCATTTTTGATCTCTCGTTTGTGTTGAACAATTTCATAATTTCATGCATTCCTGAAGAAATGTGATGGAGGGGACGAAACTTAGAAAGAGCAATGTTACTGCATCAGACGGACCGCTACTGCAACGCTTTCCAAGCAAGTATAATTTCATGAGATTTTACATTCCTATTCATGATGAAGAGTTTT